CAGCCGCCAGCCCGGCTCCACAGCGCCGTGTGCGGACGGAGGCCGTGAGGGCCCGGGCCCTGCCACCCAGCAGGGGCCAGCGGCTGCGGGGCCTTCAGCCCTGTCCCCTCCTCGCTGCTCAGCCCCAGCGCTACCCCCGGACAGGGCTTTTATCCCTTTACCAAGTCATTTACCCACGCCACTCATATAAATTGAGACTTAAACAGCTAAGTAATGGCATTTTATCACTTTTGAAGTGATCCTGCCTTGGCGATTGTAAATCTAGTCTGATTTTAATCAGCTGCTTCTCACGTTCCTCTGCTTTTGTACCTCAGAAAGAATCCGTGAGTGGGGTCGGGCATTGGCTCAAGGTCTGGCTGCATGAAGCCCATGTAACGCACACGGGATGCACACGCGTGCTGATGGTAAAAGCACGTGGGGATCTTCAACACTGCTCAAGTCACTCAGTTCAGCTAAGTCTGAACTGAATAATGAATAAAAATCAGTAAACAAGATGCTGGAATTCTGAGAAACAGATGATACTGACTCCACAGAATTACTTACAAAAGAACGCTCAGAAAAAACGCTGGGAATAAGGGAACTGATCAAAAATTGCTTATAAAATCATAAAATCATCATCACTTGTTTGCTTTCTATTCAAGCAACATCAGCACAGATATTCTGTATGGCACATAACACAAGGACAAATGAGACCAAGGAGCTGATCTCAAACTTAAGAAAAGCAAAGAGCTGAGATGGAAATAAAGTCAAAATTCCTCCTGAGACGTATTCTGAGAACTTTAATAAATATAAATACACACATGGGTGCTCACCCATCATCTACTCCTCACCTTTTTTTTCCCTGAAAAAATATTACTATAAAGAAAGGATTAGTTTATAAAAGTCCAAATACTTACATTGAAAAAAACATCAAGGGAATAAATAAACATGAAAAAGAAGTCGTCTGAAATGCAAATCTCACAGAAACGTATCAATTACTGTATATTTTTAAATAGAGATTTGGGAGATTCAACACTGCAGTGCAATAGGAACAAATACTAAGACTACCGTCTCAAGGCACGCCAAAGGTGCTGCCTCCATGTCAGGCAGGAAAAGAGAATTACTGTCAGTGAACCTGCGATGCCAAGAGAGTTGTGTGGCTGTGTGTCAAAGGGGCTGATAATTGTATTTATCAGCTTCAGTCCCACGAATGGGCTGTGCCACTTCATGAAAGAGCAATGGCAAAGCCGCAGCGATAGCATCAGATGAACAGGGACCTGCGGATGAGCACAGGAGGGTTTCAGTGGCTCTGGCCAGCGACGGAAGATTTACAACCACAGGGTATTTTCAGAACTAATTCTGAATAGAGAGAAAACACCACAGGGTTCATAAATACGGCTGTTGTCTCTGAAACATCTGAAATAGCCCACGGACAGGAACAGAACTATGCACGTGTCCGCACAACGCGTCTGTACCCGCTGCGTCTCAAACTGAGCCTTCTGCCCATCAACTCCAAATTTTTCTTGAAAACCCAATTTTTCTTGAAGACTGATAACAGAGTTCAACAACAAGAAGAAAACCAGACAGGTTTTTCCACTGTAACCTTGTCTTTTTAGCCAGGTTTTGATCAGGCTTGGGTGTAAGTGCTCAACTGACCCAGAACTCAGTGAAACTGCTATGACCCACCACTACTTTTGCACAGTAAACGCAAAGGGCAGGATACGATTTGCCAAACTCTTCTCTCCGTCCCAGATACATTTTTGGCTTCATCAGTGTTGGCTGTGATAAAATGAATGACTACAACGCATGGTAGCGGAACAGCTACAACACGGATCACTTTAGTACCAAAACCTCCCACAAACGCTTCTCAATATAAATACACTTAATATCTGAAATACCTTTCTTCCCTTTGGATTATTTAGAAGCTCTGAGCAATCTGCTAAAAGGAAAACAAGTCAGGCATCACCCCGAGAAACCCAGAAAAAAGACCCACGTTTTACTTACTCGTTGATGATCAGATCTGGCGCAAAGCAGAGGAGGTTCCCGTTGGACTGTTTGTACGACCTCCATCCCAGAGCAAACGCCATGAGGAACATCCAGGAGTACTGCAGGAGGGTCATTTGGTCATCCAGGTGTAAATTACGGAAACCTGCGAACACAAACATCGAGGTGTGACAGCACTGGTGGCAAGAAACCCTCCAAAAACCGCCCCTAGCTTGCAGCCCGGTTATCAGCAGCACGACTTGTCTACTATGGGCGTACATTACCACTTCTGGAAGTGGATTTGGCGACAACGTCCCTACTACAGGTTGTAAAAGGGGATGTAACGCTAAGAAGCCCAGAACACCCGCGCGTGCGCCTCTGGAACGGATACAGTCGGATGGATTACAAAAGACAACAGCTTCATTTCACGCACGCTGTAATTCTCCGGGCCGTCCTCCAAAAACAACAGCGTTTTTTACTCTTTGTGACAGCAGTCCACGAGACAATGGGCGGTTTAATGGCAAATGTTGTTCTCATTCTACAACAATAGCGCGCTGAACTTACAAAGTACGGACTGCCTTAGTTACGAGCAGTCACTGCTGCTGATCCTGTAGGAATACATGAACAGAGCCAATTAAACAACGAGGAAATGTGTGCAATCCGAAAACTGGTCCCTTAAACACTGAGAATGCAGACAGCTTTTGGTTTGCAACAGCGGTTCCTATCAGATCCTGCCTAATTTAGCAAGAAAGAAGATTCGATTTTAAAGTCTGAATTCAAGCTGATTTCATTTAATTTTCTTAAGCATCTGACACCTAAAGAGCTCTGAGCAGCGCTGAAGATGTGCAGATAGATGGCATTTATTAATACACAGCACAACTTGGTACGTCTAGCAACGTTGAAAGCAGCAGTAACCACCACTCACTACTGCTAACAGACCAGCAAAGTGTCTCAAAGTTATTTCCAGCTGGCTCAGCTCTTGAAACCTTTGCTCAAAGCCTCCCCAGGAAAAGGCTGTTTTGAAACCCCAGCTCAAGGGTTTGGCAACCAGGGCTGGCTCACTGGTGTATGTCTGCTGGGGTGCACCAGTGGAGTGCATACCAATTAAACATACTTGTGAAAAACCACCCCAGAAAGGAGATAAAAATTGGTAAGAATAGTCATTATTAATATAATTATTAGAGAGAAGATTGGCATTTTCATTAAGAGCGCGTGTTCTCAATGAGAATTAAGGCAGCCCTGGGTAAGCCAGTGTAAGGCCTCCTCAGAACAGCCCCAGCAGACACACACCTCTCTCTCTCTGCTGGACACACGTATTTGAGCTCAGTCTTTCCTGCTGTTAATTTATTTGCCCTGCCGTAAACCGGACACCGTTGTGACTCAGAGATTTCATTAGCAGACTTGGCTGTTGGCACTAAGAGGTGGTTTTGCCAGGCTTTCTGCACACAGGTAGCTAACGGTGCTGCCTGGAAGTGACAGCAGAAACCCAGGAGTCTTGGTTCTGTTGGGAATAAGCAGATCCCTTGGGCTTTTCACTGAGACCAAGGCTGAGATCGGACACCACTCCTGTACAGCGACTGCTGACGGGGTCCTCGGCTCGGAGCCCAAACAGCACCAAACCTCCCCCATTCTCCAGGTCATGGCCAGTTTAACCATGTAGAAAATGAATGTCTTGACTTCCACCCTGGAGCTGGGTGCTCAATGCCTTTTCCCAGTCAAGAAAAACCTACAGATACGGAGAAAGGTGGATACAGAAGAGCCATCCATGTCTGCAGACCCAGAGAGACCAGGGCAGCATCACCAGTCCGTGAGAGCCAAGAGCACCTCACTGCTGAATACTGCAGAAATAATTATCTAATTATGGAGCTAGAGCTAATGAAAATAGTTCTCCGTATTACTTTAAAACACAGAACTCTATTTTAATATGAGTTTTAACGCTCAGTGACCAAAGGGTTCAAGTAAAATACCTGAAAGGTGCCTATAGGAAATCTGGGGAAGAGCTGTTCACTGGGTATGGAGTGATAGGATGAAGGGTGATGGTTTTAAACTGGAAAAGGGCAGATCTAGGTTGGATATGAGGAAAAAGCTCTTTCCCATGAGGTGGTCGATCACTGCACAGGTTGCCCAGAGGTGGTGCAGGCCCCATCCCTGGAGATATTCAAGGTACTGATGGGGTCTGAGCACCCTGATCTGGTACCAATGTCCCTGCTGACTGCAGGGCTGGACTGGATCAGCTGTAGAGGTCCCTTCAACCCAATCATGACATGATCCGGTGAAACCTGTAATTGCAATAAGCTTTTGCATTTGTGTTTTGTTCTGCTTTCCCACCTCAGCCATTCGAGACACGAATTAGCTGTGACGTTATTAAAACTCTGTGTGTGTGACGGCTTTGAAGGACACCGAGCAGGAAGACGGATTCCACGTACCACACAAACCCCTGGCCATTACCCATTTGCTAATTACCTGGTATCGCCTTCGCCCACTTGACGGCGGCGACGACCTGCCGCCCGCCCAGCATGTTGAGGGTGGAGAGGATGCGCCAGCTGGAGTCGGGCAGGGAGCTGTCGTAGCCCGAGTACAGCACCTCGGGCTCGATCACCTCCAGCAGCGACACCAGCGTGGGGGTGAGCTGTGGCAGGGACGCGGGCACGATGCTCTTGTTGTTCCCGGGCGTCTCGGCGGCGTCCCGCGCGCCCGTGGCGCCCGCCTGCTGCATCCCTTTTATCTTCTTCTTCGTTTTCCGAGCTAGGAAAGGTTTGGTAAGTCCCGGGTTAGGTAATGGAAAGCAATAAAAACCCCGCGGAGGAAACGCTGCTCTCCTCTTCCTGCGCTTGCAGGTTGGGCAGCTGGAAACTCTCAAGCGTTTTTTTTTAATCAAGCTGTAAATAATTTCACATCAGTTCTAATTAAACTTCTGGTGAAAATAAGCTTGTTTTACATTTAAATTGAAGCATCATTCATGTTAATGATTCAGGATGTCTGCAGGTACGATACAAGGCTGATCCTGCAATTTCTACTGCGTGTAAAATTCCAGTGAAACTTCGTGTTTCTGGAACTGCAATTATCACGGAACCACAGAATCACAGAATGGCTCCGGTGGAAAAGCCCTCTGAGATCATCACGTCCAACCGCTCCTGTCTACCCCCTAAACCATATCCCTAAGTACCTCATCTACCCGCTCTTTAAACACATCCAGGGATGGGGACTCCACCACCTCCCTGGGCAGCCTGTGCCAGCTTCTGACGACCCTCTCAGTAAAGAACTTCCTCCTTATCTCTAACCTGAACCTCCCTTGGCACAGCTTGGTGCCGTTTCCCCTTGTTCTATCCCCCATCACCTGGAGAAGAGACCAGCACCCACCTCTCTACAAGCTCCCTTGAGGCAGTTGGAGGTGGTGATGAGGTCTCCCCTCAGCCTTCTCTTCTCCAGGCTAAACAAGCCCAGTTCCCTCAGCTGCTCCTCATCAGGCTTGTTCTCCAGAGCCCTCCCCATCCTTGTGGCTCTTCTCTTACACCTGCCTGGAAATATCTGCAGGACCAGGCACTTTCTCAGTTCCTTCAACTATCACGTATAGAAACCACGCAGAAGGAAGGAAAAAACAATATTTAACGGGTAAAACGTTGCTCAATCTCCTGGGCCAGGGAAAACGTTTCTTTGCAGATGCTGGGCAGGAGGAGATTTTCCTCTCGCCAGCTTCTCCTGCACATAAATCACTGCCGCGTAATTAAACCGTAAAACTCATTTGCCAGATAAATAAAGCAGAGACGTTAGCTGTGAGCTACCAAAGCTGGAGCAGCGCCTTCACCAGCGCAACACCCGAGCCTCTGCTCGGCTCCCCTGGAGCACCACTGAGCCCAGCCCAATCCAACCCCCTTCCCTCCCTGGGTCTCAATTCACTGCTTTCTCTTCTGGGACTTGCACCACACAGCAGCACGTCACAGCACCACACAACGTGGTTCCGCAGGAGAAGTTTCTCCTGCCCTGTTCGGCACCTCTAACCATGGGCAACGCGCGGCGCTGGGGTGAGCGCCACCGAAAACCCCGCTCTCTGACCCCGCTTCTGCCCCTGGCGAGCACCGAGGCTTCAGGCAGCAAC